CGTCCATTTTGATTTTAAAATATATCAGAAGTTCACTTCAATTTTGATTTATTTACACTCAATTTGCATGGTAAGATTAGCTAAGTAACTATGAAACAACTTGCTAAWCGCAAATCATACATGGGTAAAAGCGTAATTTTTTTACCCTTTTAATTATTTGAAAACTCTTCTGGCTGCAAAATTGGTCAAAGCCGAATCCTCYGACCACATGGAGGCATACAATTTGACTAATATTTACAAAATTTGCCTAAGATCATACAGTCGTAGGCGAACGACAGACAAAGGAGCAAAATTTCAAAAGTCTTTCGACTTGTCTMTCCTAATTTTCGATTGAAATTTTCGATTAGAGTCATGAAAGAAAAAGAAAAGAAAAGTAGATCGGCATTACCATGACAACAATGAAATTCTTTGATATAAATTGTTTTTGTGCGTGACAACAGAAATTTCGAAATATCGTGAAGTGGYTATTCTTGTCGTATGGCGGAGGTGTATTATCGATTTAGAGAAAAAAAATTAAATTGCAGTAGCAGCAAAAGAGAGTTTGAGTTTCTCCTTCTCTTATTCATTTTATTTTTTTAGATTTTTACTGCTAAATTAAGATCAGTATTCCATAGCAAATGTTCTGTGTCATGTTACAAGGTCATTGTATTAGAAAGATGCAAAATGTTTTTTATTATTTTTTTTACTTTTCGACTTTCACGAAATACTGAAGTTAATCAAGTTTTCCTGATTCCTGATATCAGCAAAAAAAGTTAATAATATCAGATATTCACGAAAAAGGATAAAAAAATAGTTTTAGAAATCAAACGGTACTAAGTATTCAAAAAATATTCTTCCTTTGATGACTTTGAGGCTGAAAGTATTCACGTTTTCCTGTTATTAGCAAAAATATGAATGATATCAGATATTCACGAAAAAAGATAAAAAAGAGTTTTAGACATCAAACGATAGAAAATATTAAAAAAATATTTTCCCTTCCTTTAATGACTTTGAGGTAAAACGGCAGTTGAGTCACGTGGAAAGCAGGTTCCGTGTCTATAATTATTCACTGATCACAAAATGATGTTGAAAACTCAAGGGAAAAAACTTAGCCAAATCATTTGTGTTTTTAAAACATATTAAAGAGATRGTGGGTATTGCCTTTATGCTATATCGTCAGTCGCTGTAGTGTTTGTCCAGCTTTTGACTGCGCATTGCGTTGGCCACAAAAGATGTGTCATTTTCGATAGAGTCTTGGACGCTCGACGGCAGCTGTTAAAACTACACTTTAAATTGCTTTTCGCAAAAATAGAATGTTTTTTAGAAATTGTTTCATTTGCATGGATGTTTTTTTCTTCGCTAATGTATTCAGCTTAAAAACGGTATTGTTGGACTTATCATMATTATCTTATGTTAACATCTAATCATTTGAACAAAATTACAGAAAATCATTGAGTATGTTTGTATCTATAAATGGAATTTGTCTCTCCATTGGCGAAACTTTATAAAACGAATTTCCCTGGTAAAATCAAAAGAGATGTAAGCAGATGTATATCCTGATACGAGAGAATTCGGCGAAACAATGAAAACGCAAAGAAAAAGCAGAAATTAGAATGATACACTTGACTTCGATCAAGCGCGCAAGCTAAGACTTTTTTTGTCATAGCGGTAATTATATCGAACAACTATTAGGAAAGATATCCTGTCAKAAATGTTAATGATTGAATTCAACTAAGAAAATATCTTCCATTTCAATAGCTGTTCTTTGTTTGTTTTCTGCATTGAATCTTATCCCTACCCCCACCCCTCGAAAAAACAATCGATTGACGAAAGAACTGAGAAACTGGTTAAATACGACTTTGACCAATCACAGAGTTTTTACATATGAAAACTGTTTCAAAAATCAAATGTGGAAGTCGAGCATGCGCATTACTGAGATGTGGGCCGTTGTAGTTCTGTTTCAATCTGTCCCGATCAGTAMCCCCAGGGCTTCCGAGAATGATGTCGACATATCAGCAGAAATGCCTTTTGATTTTATGTGCGTTAAGCCTCAAAGTCGATTTTTTTAATTGTTTATAATTCAGATTGATCGATATGTCTGTCAATGGTGATCAAATTTGAACAGCTTCATTTCTGTCATTTTGAACTCGTATTGAATTAATTTCATCGGCCAAATGTTCCCAAAAGGCTTGAACCTTATCGAAATGATTTATTATATTAAATCTTTTAGAAAGCTGTTTAACTTTTGATTGTTTATTGCCACAACACCAAAATTCTTTATAGTGTGGTACATTTAAGTCATGAATAACGTTAGCTAATCAATCTAGTGCCACAGCTGAAAATCTTCGCCAAAAAATCGGCTGTAAACCCAAATAATGAAATTGCCAAACTAGTAACATTTTTTCGAGAGTTAATTTTCCGATAAAAATGCATGACGTTATATCGTTACCTATACTGGCATTTAGTTATGAGGGGTGTCGTAAGTGATTGCGTTTTATTTCTGCCCCAGAGGGCCATGTGAAAATAAGGTCCAATTAAAAGGGTCTCAATGGGTTTAGAATGAGGTTATTTAACGCGCGATAGTCAAATAGACACAAAAGAAAACAATGCAATTTGAGCGTACTATGGTGTATTAGCAGTATTAGTGTAATATATATTTCACGGGTTGAATGACTTCATTCTAAGTTGGCCCGATTTTCAATTTAAGTAAGTCGTATGAGGGAGAAAATAACCGATAACGAAAAGTCTAGTTAACTTAAATATATACTCAAAATAGCTAGTGTTTTGAATTTTCTAGTTTCAAATCTCAAATTTTATGCTAAGACTGTGTCCTTGTTTATACTTGTTAGTGTTCTGATTTCGGAAAACAATTTCTAGATTATATTCCAACTGTATATTACATGACTGATCACCTTTAAAKATCATATTATTGAACATGAAATAAYTGTTKAATTTTAAATGAGAAATATTTTTTGTAAACAGTAATTGCTAAAACTTATTGTACCCGTAAACCTTCAAAAAAATTCAATTGTTGACACGAAACCAGTATCAAATAAAAMTATGAGAAATGATTTTTTGTTCYCTGTTACTGTASTACCTTAACRGTAACGTAGAGATTCAAATTCACCACCATTGGTTGAAAATTCCCATTATACCCTACATAACACAAATCTTGTCAGATTATTTCTGTTTCTTTACATCAGAGTTGCATTGTAGTAATTAAGTTGTAGTATTCTGGTCATGTATTCGCCAGCTGTAAGTGCGACGCCGTCTACAATACAATATATATATATTTCTATTTCTTACTCAGTACTTCATTGAAAGTTCAGCTATTTTTGTATATTTCAATCAACCTCATGTCTCGATAGTCTGAAATGGCCTTCATGTTAAAATGCATTGTTGTTCGTCATACCGTTCTAAAAAGTATTTTATTTTCCTTGTTCAGWGTAACTATGTCAGCTTTACCTTTGATGAAAAGCAACGATACATTGTAGGTCTTGGCTGACCAGTATCACAGTTTTTGAAAGAGCTGAAATTAGCGTAATTCCGTAAAAAAAAAACACGAAACGTTACAGTGACTTCCTWTGGAAATAAGAATAATAATAAAGAAACTAAAATACCTATTAGTAAAACACAARTCATTGCCGTTTGCTGCTGTTCTTTGTAAAAAGAACTAGCGTAAAATACAGTCTCTTTTTAATGGTTAAAGACAAGTTACTGCGATTTTAGTTAGTAAACTTTACTTAAAATTACTAAAAAACACTTCCCAAAATCGGAACGATTGAGCAAAAGATAAGAAATTGTTTTATACAAATTTGAGCGTTGCTATCAAATTGTATTATCGGTAATGTGAATGAAGTCTATTGAGTCGCCGGCAGCAGGTTTGACCCGATTTCAACCCTCATCTTGCCCGCTTCGCAAACAAACTAACAAATCAGACCGGAATAAAAGTAGTCTGTAGAATTGTGCAATAATTTTCTAATGAAATGCTGAGGGAGGTCAAATAATGCTAGCTTTAAACGACTGTTCAAACACTTTTAGCATATTTGRTAGTGATTTTTGTTTACAAAGAATYATGTAACGGGAATACTTTGAAAATTTCACTTTATCTCAATCGAAAGYTGTCACAAAATGCGTGAATCTGTTTTGGTTGGCCTTTTAGAATATCTATATCATTTCTTTGTTACTTTGCTGTATTTAATTAAAAATATATAACAACTAGTGGTCCGTTGTTTTCAAGGTTTATTCAAAACTGAGTTCACTAAGTCCMCACGGACAAGGATTTGATACTAAAAACATTATTATCACCATGAAAAGTTGACATTACATTCAAAAATAATATTCTATTTCATATCAAATGTGTCGAGGTTAACGAGTCTACCTTTTGAACAACACAGGTTATTTCATTCATTGATTGTTTTGCCTAATTTATATTGGAACTGGGAAATTTGTACTCGTTTTTTATTAGAAGTTTAAAGATCAAGCAAAGACTTTCTGAATTCAACCAAAAACCATATATATAATCAATAAACTAGTATTTTCTTGTTTCATTTGATAATGTTTTGTTTTACATTACAGACATAATCAAACGATGTACAAAAAAGCTAAACAGTAAACTTTATGTGTAACAGTTGATGTTCAAATTTAGCGTCAATGTTTCTAGCAGTCTTTCACTTTGTCTAAACACACGCAATTCAACACAAAAAAGGGCATGAAAACGAGAAAATCGACGCTAAAACTTGAGCAATTCAATATGATCAGTTTTTTTGCATCTCATGATAGTTTTTTTCGGCCTAAATACACGGAGAAAYCGAAGGATAAATTCGTGATCACATCCTTTACAAAATACTAAAATATGACTGAKAAAACAACAGAAACAAATTAATTAAACTTGTTTCGTTAATTCAAGAATTAAGACCATTAATTAGAATTACTAATAKTGCTACATTGTTCCACAAAAACCTTGATGGCGACAATTTCAATTTCGAAACAAGTTAAAACGTGAAGTCTCGTTTTCTTACCTTAYATTTATGTTTTCACGGCGTTGAAAGTAATCTTTGTCTTTGCTTAGTCTTCGTCCAAGTTGGTCTACTTTGTTTTGGTGTTCTGTTATCTCGAAGTATTCAATTGAGTTATAAATTGATTGGTAAATGCAAGAAACACCATMGTATTGTTGSAGTGACCCATCGGTGCAAAAGGGCACACGCAAACTGATTAAACTAYACAATGTACACCGTTTAAAGGAATTCTAAGGCATCAAGACCCTTCTAGCACATCAAAAAGCACCGATTCTCTACCAACAATCTTTACCTCACGCTGRGAAGCTAAATAACAAATCTTTAAAAAGATAATACCCATTGAAAATCTTCGCAATGCAGGGAAGTTGGCCAAACACGCAATGCTATTAAACAATTTATTTCTGTTATATTTGATTATTAAGAATACAGTTAAACTCTTAAATGGAGCTTTAGTCTGTGCATGTGGCTGGCTATCAAATAGAATGCCGAATTACATGAAGAAAATCAAAAGAGTATTCATAAAATTTTAGAATTTGGTTTCAAAAAGTACAAGTTCAAGGTTACAAAGAAGGTATTTTAAATCACTTTTGTACTTACAAGACAAAGTTGACAAGACAGATCCGATTTGAAATGAAGTTTTCTCATCTTTCGGTCTTTTTACAAAACGCAAAAAGAACAAAGGCACTGTTGTGTTTCATATTGTAGTATTTGTGTTCAGGTAAATATACCAAAGTTAATAAGCTCCTGAACGACTACACTAGGAGATGTTCGACCAGGGTATATTGTTRGATGCTCACGTGCGATCGAATGATGAAACGTTCCTTTATCCAGCATTGTTTGATTGCGAAATGGAGCCTTTTATGTTTGACCGATTCGCATAAAAGCTATAAAACGACACTAAACTCACTGTACCGTAAAACTGGGTTTGAAACTTACYCGGATATATATAGTAAATTCAAATATCCCCCAAGAAAATCTTCGCCTATTATTGCTTTCATACGATTAATTATTTAATTCACAAAGTTGTTAGAATTATGCTTGGTGTCAAGATTCCAATATAATATTGATGTAAACATTTTAACAATACCAATTTATTTGGCTGGTTCTGCTATCACAATAATGTTAACCTTCTTAACGGGTGTGAGGGTAGTAGTGCTGTTGTCTTCCACGAATCAATTAAAATAACCCAACGCGGATACCACAGAGACTTAAAATATTCCACTTTGAGTTGACATTTTACTTATTAATARATAGAAGATTTTTATTTCCTTTTGAYTAACTCTTGGGCTGTCAGCGAATTGAAATGATGGGTTCTTCGAGTCCACATGTTCTGTGTGATACACGAAATTGTTATTGTTAAATCTTTTTTGTCTTTAACTTTGTGGTTAGTTTCCGTAAAGAATCAAGCTTGTACAATATCTTATTAAAGTGTCTATTTGTACATCAATAAAACCTTGCAGCTTTTATTGAAATTAACCTGCACGGTCAACAGACTCAATCGCGATATAATAGATGATCATCGAATGCTACTGTCTTTAAAATACTCCTTCAAAAGGCACTATGAATTCGATATTTTTATGACCTGTTCTTCAGAGTTAGTRATAGAGTCAAATCCAGTCTTGTTTGGAATCTTGTATAGTTTTCCATGCATTCTTTGTTGCTGTTTTCATAAAAAGTCAGATTTGTTTTTGTGTTTAAAATAATCACAGAAATCACCACAAACTAATTTAAACAAGTCGATGTTAATCCCCAATTTCTATAGACRTATGTGTCTGATATTTTCACATAAAATAAGTGCTAATCGAGTAAGGATATTTCTGAGGCAAAAGTCTCGTTAGTCGAATCAAAAACTTAACAAGAAAATCCAAATGTGTCAAGAGTGAATGTTAGCGTGTGCACTTATGATATTCTGTATTGTTTCGGCACATTAATCACGCTGTATACCATAATACAATAACCACACGTATCAACCAGCACACGACGTTTGCTTGCTTCAACTAGAGACAGAGTCGGTTTCCATAACCAGACTAATTAATATTCCAGAAGAATCTTCAAAATTGAACGTTAAAAAAGCTGAAATTTCGAGCCGTAAAACGGGTTTACACGCGCCGACAATCACTGAATCGGCTGCCAATAGGGCTGTATATTCATGTTAGAACGTTATGTTTGCCATTTCAYAAAAGCGAGTATGATTTTTTAGGCTTAACAAATCGTCTAAAATCTGGCCTTTTCATTGGTTCATTAGTATGCAAGGACAAAACAATAGATGGCGTGGAAGGATTTTTCAAACTTAATCGCGTAAAATTTACTCGGCGAAAACTGCTGCGAATTAAATCAAATACAACAGCGTTGCGACATCAATAGAAAGCTCGTTCTGTTCAAATAACAAGCTTTTTTCATACAAAATAACCGTAAATCAGACAASAAAATAAACAAATTACCACAACTTAGAAGAATGCGACATTTCAAATAAAATCAACATTCCAAAAAGATGTCCTATTTAATATTTATTGCAGTAAGCTAACAGCATGAGTTGACATGTTTGCATTACAGACAATTCTAGGTAAAAGAACGACCAAGACAGTTCAAGTTAACACACAAAGACATCTTGGCTGTCCAGAGTGCCCCACCCTTATTTGACTTGTCCATGTCTTCTTCTTTTCTGACGGTTTTTCTACCTCGTGTTTATTATTCCTATCTAAGAGAAACACGTTTAGTTTGGTAAATAAATTATTCTTACTTTCTGTCAGTTCGTGCTCGAAGCACGTTTTATGTTCTCTCATGGAAAGTTCGGCGAATGTGAAGTGCCGATTGAAACATTCCTGCCATTGTGTAAGGAACAGATAGTTAAGAGAGAGCTAAGCACCCAAGTAGTATGTATAATAAAGACGAGTGCTGTTACCTTAGAGCTCGCAGATAAATGTCTTTATGCTAGCATTGTCTAAAGCTTATTTGGGACAAATAATGGGTCTTCAATAGAGTATGCTCTCTTAGCACACGAGTTCGATATACGGAACCTATCAAAAGGGGGAACGTCTGTCCCAGGGCAAAAGGCATACATATTGAACGGTTGTAAACAACTCATGACAATAGTTGTAAAGATTTATTTGAAGTGATGTAGTTAGACTGCGGTATTCTTGTTTCTTTGGAGGATTTCTGCTCTCTGTTTTTCAGATAAGGGGCATTGTCTTTGGGTTCTTTCACGTGATAGGATGCTAAATTTCACCAGTGAAACAAAAGTGCTCATACAAAGCCCAGGTGCTAGCCATTAATACTCACCCCTAGTTAATGGGTTGAGACGTTTTCTGTAGACGTGCTCGCCTGGGCAACCTACAACCACCAAGACTTATGTATGCATTAATTAGTGGTCCGTCTATCCATGTGTGAGGAACAAACGCTCGACCATCAAACACTGGGCAACACACCATATTGGCGTCACATCACTGTCCAATTTGTGTCGAATATCAGAATGTGATGTTTTCTTGTTTATATTTGGCGAGGGACCCTTGTTTCACCACATGGGTACAGCTAATGATCCTTGTTTTGATTGGCTTGTTTTGGGGCTTTCCACCTCCCTTTGATTGTCTAAATGGCTGACACCCTAGTTCTAATCACCAATAGATAGTAGAAACGATTGATACTTTAAGCAGGACACTATGCTACAACACCTTAATAGTTACTATTAATAGATTTGTGGAGTTATTCCTTCATTTATGTTGACCTTGAGCAGCTCTTAATATCGATATTGCTTCACTCCCTTAGACGCTACAACATATTATATGCGTACATGCGTGGTAAATACCCATATACGTTGATAAATATAAATCAATCTATTTTACAAATCTCTGAATGGGAACCGTCTGGTGGGCAGTCGATGGTTACACCTTATTGATTCACGTTATCAAGAGGTGGTTCTTTATCGTAACTTGTCTTATTGTCAGAAATAGATAACATTGCTGTGTTTAAACAACATCCTTAAGATGAGCCATTTCTCACACKAAAAARACGAACCAATCAATATAAAAATATCTCCTCAACAGCCAATCAATGAACAGCAAATATATTACGTCAGATAAAKAGTTAGATTGTGCGTTATCTGATTTTAACAGGAAAATCTCCAGGATATTTAAATAAAGGTCTATACGCAGGCTGTACGTACACATTTACAACAAGGCAGTCATTAGCATAAATAAATAAAGCGAATTATGATATATTTTTTTACTATGTGTTTTAATGGAGGTTAGGCCTGGGCACGCGGTGCTCAGAAAGATCTAAAGTTGTGATAATCCAATTAATTGACTGTCAAAATACAGCACGATTCTGATTGGTCGAGCCGGCAGGTGGAGACTCTATTAAATTGCGTTCAAACAGTCATTTCTATGTAATCACTGAGGAGTAGCGGAGCTAAACCAGAGAAGTCAAGAAAAATCCTTACAAACGCAAACAAGATACAAGAAACTTTAGCCACTTGATTTGGTCTTGGCCGATATCTCTGCTTCGCTTTGGTTTTGTGGAAGAACTGCTTAAAAATGGAATTTCAAGATTATGCCTTTTCTATGCCGACGTGCTACCAACTGGGAATTCCAAGTGACAACACTCCATTGACCCAATATCAACCGTATCATTATGGCCCACAAGTTACAATGCCTATCCCTCATCCTCTATACGACTATAACCTAGAACCAGCCTTTATACGCAAAAGAAACGAAAGAGAAAGAATTCGAGTTCGACACGTCAACGAGGGTTATGCAAGACTCCGCGAACACTTGCCCGAAGAACCAACGGACAAGCGAATGTCAAAAGTTGAAACATTACGAGCTGCGATTCGATACATTAAACACCTAGAAAGCCTACTAGAGAATGAAACGCCAAAGATTGATGAACAGCAACAACAGAATAGCTCTTAAATTGCTGGTATTTTGACTGATTTTTTTTATCACTCATGCTTATAAACCTCAACTTATGTTATTCAGAAAAARGACTGAATTTCTAAAAAGGAAAGAAAAAAAGGCAATTGATTGATAGTAAAAGACTTTGCAAGCCCTTGTTAGCGCCAAGGTAAATCAAAGATGTAAAAAAAGTGTAAAATTTTGTAGAAATAATCATATGATAAAGGTACTGTTTAAATATATTAAAAAACATGAATAATTGATCAGTATTTAATTGTCTATTTAACGTGACTTTCAAACCAAAACTTGGTGATTGTAATTAAGATGAGCGCTAGGCAGTCAAAACCATCACCAACACATTCATCTGAAAATCTGTTTTTTGCTTAACTTACGTGTTCCAGTAACGACTTTTCTCTGTTTTTTATTTCTTGAATTGAATGAGCTGCCAAAATGCTTAATGAACAATGATAATGCAGCAGTTTTTCGTATACTTAACTTAACCAAACAGCCTATTTAAATCCACCAGATAGGCTAATATTTTTCGGCAAAACACTTATATATTTTACAAAACATCTCAAAACACTTAATATTCGTTTTATATCATTTTCACAACAAGAAAAGATCTGGTTTTAAGTCATTGACAAGAAAGCTTTTTACATCGAAAAGTCTTGTTTTTCAATAATGTGGATATTGGATAGTTTGGCGCATGGCAAATAYAGACTCTAGTCTTTTGTGTATCGCCAAAACAGCTGTACTAATACGCTAAGTTAAATTTTTGCCTTGCACTGATTCTCACTCAATATTTAGCGCTTTAAGAAAATTGCCTTTGAAAAGCACAAATAGGTCAATAATCTACTTTGATTGTGGTATCAGCCTTAAAAGCATGCCTGGTCTAATCACAGAATAAATCTTGAAGGTTTGTCGATCGCTGATATTTCATTTTGCTGACATCTAAAAGATACATAATGAATTTAATATATCCTTGAAACGATTCAAAAGCCTTTTGAACGAGGGTTTTATCAGACTCGCCTCTGGGTTTATCAATSTAAGCTAAATATTAACAATTGGAAAATCCCTGTGTTTTTCGAGTGCAAAAATAGAAAAGTCAGATTTTCTAAAACGCTTAATTACATTTGCTAACCGTTTTAGCACATCACACAAACTAAGTAGGGCTGTTATGGCTGACGATATGATATTAGATCGTTGACTGTTCCGTTAAGCGGGTTAGGGTTAAAGCAAGCTTTCTACAACAAACTGACTTGTTTATGAGACTTCCCCGAGCAACGCAAAGATAACCATGGAATTACCTGATCACTAAAAACACGTGTAAAGATACTGAAAACAAAGTCATTGTTTACTAGAGATATGAAAGACGCAGTCAAACTATATACCCGATAAAGAATGCTTAAATTCAAAGATTCAAGAACAGTTTTAAGATATTGAATGCATTCACAAGGATGGAGAGTTCCGTTTTGCCTTTATTCATTAGGGACAGTGGTTATGTTGATGTTAGATACAGGCAGACATTTCCGATTTTATAATGATGTACTGCGCTTCTTGTATCAAGAATTGAAAAGAACAGCGTAATATGGAGAATCTCCTGCTTTCAAAACTTAATTGGAATCGATTTTTTTTGTTCAAGWTGTGACGAAACAGGAAAAGGGTTTTATTGTATAACGCTGAGGAGAGGAAAGAAAAAGAAAACATAAAAGTTAGAAAAGGATTATACTACAAAATAAACGCCAAAAAGTACAAACACTAGATTCACAACATCTAAGAATACATATCGACAACAAGTGTATTGTTATTAAGAATAAAAACCATTTCTATAGGTAAAGTTTAAAGTTCGTTAAAATAACGTTAGCTTTGTTCGTGACTTTAGCTGAGATTAGTTTTTAATAATACCAAAATCAGTCCTAAAATCTTCTTGCATTCAGGCGGTGGGTTTTTATTCAAGGTCGGTGTTTCTCTAATCAGATAGTTTTAGCTAAGAAGCGAAATGCATGGACCACGTGCATAATCACCAAGCATTAGACGAGCATCCTTAGTAAACACACAACTACGTTTTTGTTCCCGAACGATAGTATTTGAATTCTCCCACGCCATAGAGTCCATTGGAAAACGCAACAAGAGAATGACTTTTGATTCTAGCACTTGAACGATTCATATCTCGTACGAGACCGCGCCGATATGCTTCAACCAGCTGTATATCAATGCGTTTGTTGGCCTTTGTACTGCATGTATATTGCCAAGGCATGCGGTTTATAATCAAACAATTGATCGGTGTCTTTTGGCTTTGTGCACTAAATAAACCACTACAACGATCTCTTTGTAAACTCGACGTACAATCCTTTTCTAAGGTCGCAGCAACAGTGATTATTTTAATCAGTTTTGTAAAAGGAGAATTTAGTAATTTTGTTAAGAAAAACATATATCGAAGCAGTCTTTTTTTTCGCAGTCTCTAGTCAAATAGTTACATTGATTACATTTTATGACTTGTATTTCATTTCATTGATTTGTTTATAGGTTTAAAATCACTGCACCAGTTACTCAGAACTGTGATGAATAACAAAAGTACAGTACGGCAAATTTAAAAAAAGTATTATAATAAAACACTTGAACCCTTAGTTCTTTGTTTCCAAACCGACAGGAAAACCTTTGTTAGTAAAAAGTGTACCTGTTGAACGCGTTAAAAGAAACAGCTTACAAAAAAAACACAGTACACTACACCATAGTGCTTTAGAAAGGTATTCTTTGTAGTCATTGAGTAGAGGAAAAACCAGCACCTTTGTAAACTATACCTGTTATAGACATGAATAGAAGCCTTCMTAAAACACTGTTGAACGGCATTTCTTTACAAAGGATGGCTGGTGTAACATTCTACTCGGCTATTACATATACAGTGTCAAAGTATTAAAATCATAAAGGACCGTTGACTGTTGCACATTTTGTTGATTGCCATGCGAGGTTTCCTAGGTTTCGTAACACGTAAAAAAGTATTTTGCGTCTTTAACAATCATGTTGCGTACTATATTTGTCTTAAATAACCGTCGTTACATAGTACTTATTGGATGCTATGCAATTAACTACAATATACACAACTGGTTCATCACACCAAAAAACGGAAAAACTCATTGAACCTTAAAATATGGAATAAAATAATGAACGAACCCCGAAGACAACTTTTCTATYTTTTGCTTTGAAAGTGATATTGCCTTGAGTACTGATCTTTGTTAGAGCAAAATATGAAAATCTCGAGTGAAAATCAGTCGCAACATTTCCTTTTTTGTAATATAATATTATCACGAACCTCCGCGCACGATAATTGCAATAGTACAATCTTAAAGTGTCTAACTCTTGAATTCTTTTTATAGTAAATCAAAATATATTTAATGGAAAGGATGTTCCTATATGATGTAAGGAGCCGTGGAATTCAGTTGCATAGAAATCCATTTAACAAAGCCATCAATGAACTTGGATAGACTGGGGTACACGTGTAGRCGTTGGTGCTACTTCCCGACATTACTAGCGAAGCACGGAAGAGCTTACTTTATTGCTATCAATATACAACAAGAATAGACATATATTTCATGCTTTGTGATGTGGTGATGGGGTCAGTGACTCGGATTATATTTCTATATGGCGTAGATGACTASATTTAACTCCTGGTAAATTATCTCTATAGAAATCCATAATCCCTTAAGTTAGGCCGGTATGTTTACAGACACAAACAAAGGTGGTTACACAACGAAATTAAACTGAATAAAAGAACAGTTAAGTGCTTTTGAACTCATAAAATACAGAAAAGAATTCATTAAAAACAGCCAACCGGCAATTCGTGTTGCAATATAATTTGGAACACTTTAATCTTTCGTACAATGAATTCGTGAATTGCAAACGTGGTGGTTTTCAATTGCAATAAATCCAAGCTCGTTGTATAAGCACATCCCACGTGGACAAACTATGCCTAAATCATTTATTTGATTGCTAYAAACTTTGCAATGCATGCTAAACAAAGCAATCAGTTYAAATGCTTTTGTATATGAGTGGTGTTTTCATCGAGAAAGCGATTCAGTTGCAAACTATGCATAGTCACTTTAAAATAATTCAAGAAGCTACAAACTTTTTCCCTGGATCTTTTAAAACAGCTAACTAGTATATTTGATAAAGAACGGTTAAGTTAAAAAGTGTTATTTTGTTACATGTAATATTCAACTTGTTGTACACATAGTTTACGTAACTTTTGCATGTTGACCTATTTCTTTYTGCCACCCTTTTAAAACACTAGCACGCTCTTTTTAAACGGCTTTTTCAAAATTTCTATTTTAAGCTCTAACATTATGGAGATCACTTCAAAAAACGATGGCTTTCGATTTACCTAATGAAGTACACCGAACACACACGGAAAACAATTACATTAAAACAATTACAATGAAAGGATATCGTGATGTAAACTAACAGGTCAAGTGACGCTGCTTCACTCCGTAAATCAAGCTCCCTAATAAAAGCCAAATTCATCAATGAAAATTGTGCCTTTGAGCCAATGTGAAAGCTTCAGTTTATATTAGAAGTCGTTAGAAGTCATAAAGAAGTCAGAAGTCACAGCCGGTGTGTTTTGCCGAACATCTGAMTCTTCACAAAACTATTCATTTCACGATTTTGTTTGTTTGCTGTTGTTTTTTGATTTTTAAAACTGATCCGCGGGCTTCGCTTTTTTCATGTTCTTTTTGCGCTATGTTGAGGAGTTCTTGTCAATCAACATTTCATATTATGATTTGTAGACATTCAAAAAGCGTTTCCGTGCTTATTCGTTATATCTAATTTAGTGTTCTGATAAACTGCACTTTCGTCGTCCAGCGGCGTCAGAAGACCGCTAAAAAAGATATTTTTTAGAAAGAAATAATCTACAGCTGTAGGCTCGTGAGAATGTCCTGTACTACATTTTTCAGCGTGCCCTAAAWTCTTAGCGTTTGTGCAAGGAAACGAGATTGGAATTTTTAGTAGAATTCTGCAGTGGCTAATTATCATGACTGATTAATATGTCTGTTTCTTTACGCAGTTGATTTTTAACGCTTCTATATTAGGCAGCCCAAAAATATAAGGCTTTGGTTTACTTTTGAGCTGACTCCTTATCTTAATTCATTGAACTTCAATCAAACATGTGTAATATTGTGATGTACTTAGGGACTGGGTAATATTTATCAGGAAAAAAAAGTTAATTGCCACCCCCCTCGCAATCGAAATAAATTACGCTCTCCTTATTTATTTKTTATTCGTGAATAAAGTGTTGTCGCAAATCGTGACACGCTTTTCTTGAGAAGTTTTCAAATCTGACACCGTTGATTTTTCAGTTTCCAATTAAAGTTCTTGTTAAATTTAGACGTTCCCTCCCCTCTTTAAGCACATAAAATTAGATTTTGCCCCACTCCCCTCTTGATTCTCAACCCACCTCCTGATAAATATTGCGCAGTCCCTTAGATATGTTTCTTGATGTTACTCATTGTATAAATTCTTTATAATGGTTATAGATTGAAAATAAATTAAATTGAATAAAATCCTAATTTTGCCAGTGTGATCGATTTTGCTGATTACCCGTAATAAATTACCCTTAAAAAAAAGAAATTTGTTGAAAAACAAAATGAAAAAAAGAGAACTCATTCGTGTTGYGATTCGAACCCGTTCAACAAAAACTCGAAAAAGATTGGGACGATTCCCCCGAGACATTCTGTGAAGCTGAGGCGTCGAATCGACTTACATTACGGTTAGAGATTTCGGCTCTTCCATGCTATCCCGATAATTGGTCCTAACTTCGCGCTAACTAAAAAAGCCAGTGAGGGAGAWGCTATCCGGCCCCTAGAKACTYATGGATAACCCCTTGCACTAACTAGGCAACTATCGAAAATATAATGTCAAATTGGGGTAGTCTATTCGGCGAAAGTGCGAAGTGGTCTATTATCATGCTAATYAGAGTGGTCCAGTGGCGCACATCCTTAAGGCACTGTTCTTCAATCCAACGATCCAGAGATCAATTCAGCGAAGTCACCCGGTTTATATTAAATTTGTATAATTTTTATTCAATGCATTTTTTTTTTGTCTTTATTTTTTTATTTTTTTTTTCACGGAAATAAACGAGACGAACTTCACTTTGTGTTTTTGAATTTTGATGTTTTTTACGAATTCAACGTCAGCGTAGCATCGTGGTGCATTGTGGTAGCTTCATTACAAGCAACAACACATTTGGRAGCATGACCTAAAGACGTTTCTAACGAACCTAGACCACAATGCAATGCAAACTGCTATCTCGGAAAAGGCCTATATAGGCTGCAAGTAACAGCGATTTGATTTTTTTTTTTGAAAAACTGACTCCGGCAAATTATTTCTAAATTTGATTTTACATCTTATGAACACCTATGCATAAAACACGAATAAAGAGATTTTAGTATTATGTTATTGGACAAGTGATGCGAAATGAATACTCTTAAGAAAATGCGAGAGAAATTATGTTCTAGAATATACTTGTTCATAACGACAACACTTTTAAGAGCGGATTTGGTATGACTGTGAAAAAAAATACTGCACTTTCGTAACGTGTCTGTACCGTGCTGTGACGGTGATGTAATTTTTTTGGATCACTACCAGGCGAGGTGCCGTGACCGGAAAATATCACCGAGAAAAACACCCAAATCATTCTGTATTTCGATGATAATCACTAACCGTCACTGTCTGCTACGATCTGATCATAGTAGATATCAAAATAGCTTCGAAGAAGATAGATTTATCATCTAAGGTCTAAAAAAATCCCTTTTCTGACTTCGAAGGCTTTTATTTAGTCAATTTTCTTGAGTAAAATCGGTCAAATAAAGCCGTTAGATCGAGTTTCTACTGCGCATCGGTGAAATAGCCTGATTCTCACTTCCGGTATTGGAAATTTCCATGCCAGAGCGTCTGTTTTTGTTTGTGAGCCTGCGAGTAAGAGGGACAGTGGTTCTGGGTACGAGATTGAAAAAAATTAGTGAAGTCGTGTGGACATGGTTAAAAATTTTGAATTTAAAATTGTATTGATGCCCACATTGAACGAAAAGATCCCGTATGTTTTATGGCATGTCGAAGAGTATGACCCAGCTGTTTTGTTGATGAGGTCAATATTAGACTTATATAAAAATATCCCAAAAACCACGTGAACAGCGAGTAGAATCTCCTTGCGGAAACAATATGCTTCCAGCAGACCATAAAATACGCTTGATTCTCATCATTACGCTTTAGAGCAGAGTTAGTGGTAACTCTGTTTAGAGACACAACCTTAAAGTTTTTGATACAAAGCAATATGATATCAAGCAAAACGGCCGAGAAGAAAGAGGAAAACGATCCTGATAAAGATGCTGATATCGATAACCAAGAGAGTTCAGAGAGGTAAGGTGTGTCGCCAATGGTCACAACTCGAAAATTGTTTAATAAATTTAAAAATGTTCAAATGAGTCAAATGTTGAAGTTTATAGAAAAAAACTGTGATCTTTCACAGCTTGGCAGAATTCTTTTGGAGCTACAAACCAGCGTTGTGTCCACGAAATCCCTACGAATCTACTTAGCCTGACTCAGTTTCATCCATGTTAACATACGTAAACACCGACAATAAAGCAGGCAATCCCTACTCAAACTGATTTACATGTAATGTTTAAATAATTTAGTTTTTTCCAACGCCAAAACATATTTCCTACAGATATTTCGGTCATTGTAAGAGTTGTGGTGGAACTGCAAATATGGCCAATATTCATTGTTGAAAAAATTCTCGTTAGTCAGACAGCGCAGTTATTTCGGGTTTGCAATGAAGCGATAAATATATGTAATATAAAATCATATATACAAAATATAAAGTCTACAACTCTTATAATCCATGAAATGGGCAAAAATAGTGTTTTTAACACCAATAGCGCACGCACATATGTTGTGTACAGACTAATACTTGTTTGAGAAAACGCACAAATAATGGGTACTCTTGTTACAGAGGTTCGATTTGTTCATACAAGCTACAACTTCTATCATGGTTTTCCATCCTGCCTACTTATCCTCGGCTATTTTCCATTCATGCACTATACTAGCTAGCCCGACTTCACGCTCCTATAGCGTCTAGTTCATTTTTTTTGTCTTTTATTATAAGCTTTATTTACAAAATTTGATCGATGTGACSACTGTTTGCGATAGGTTCTACAATAGTTTATGGTACACATATAGAATAATAGAAAATAATAGTCGATATAATAAATGTAATGTCTAGTTCAATTTTATACARTGACTCCGACAAGGAAAAGCAAAAATTGACAACAAGTAGCTACAAAAAGCAGTGTGAAATATCTGTAAAATCCAGTCTCACGCTCACACAAGTTTTCAATTTGTAAGKCACGCCCCACTTTGACATATAAATTTTCTGGATCCATCTGATATTATTTAMACAAACATTACATAAATCAGTGATATAATATCTTTTGTTTCAAAAAGATACTTTTCGAATTAATACATCTTTTACAATAAGGTAGTACTATACCCTGAGTATCAGGTTCTCTTAGATGGGATTGGAGATACTCAGGCTATAGGACTACTATCGTAACTGCAATTTCCTAACTCGAGCCCTAATACAATTTTTTTTTCATAATATATTGATCTTTTTACTTCATTTGTGACAGCAACCCCARCATCTCTGAGAGACATGTTGGAAGCGATGTTATGAAAAAGCTTGAAAATGCAGCTGAGCAAGCACAGCGCTTTAWTAAAGAGGTTGAACAGGCTATCGAGAAGAGAAAATCGACTCTCGCTATTCTCAGAGATATAGCTGACGAGCTTGACAGCACGACAAAAAGTGTGGACATTGCTAGAGTAGCTGGTTCTTCAGTTGCAGTGGTAGGGGGAGCTACGGCAATAGCCGGAGGAATCCTTAGTATATTTACACTTGGACTCGCAAGTCCGCTGATCGGTGCTGGAGTTATGGCTGCCGTTACTGGTGGGGTCACTGCAGGAGGGGCTGAGATAGCTAAGGCTGTCATTTCGAAAGACAAGATGAAGAAGGCGCAAGAGGTTCTGGATGAAGATAAAAAAGCAATGACCAAAGCTGACGAGGAATATGATAAAACAAAGGATCTTGCTGAAAAAATCAGTAAATGCTGCCCTCAACTTGGTTCTCCAGAACAAATTATCTGCCGTTTAATTGTTARCAATAAGGTCAAAATAAGCTTGCAAGGGGACAACCCARCCTACCGTCTTGCTGGATCATCTGTTGCCCGTTTGGCATTGGTTGTWACATCTCTCACTCTGGCAAAAATCGCAAGTAAAGATGCTAGTAAACTTGTTGTAGAAATTGGTCCGAAATTGATGCCCAGCCTTCTCCCTAGACTAACGATCGTTGTCACGAAGGGTGCAGTCGGAACGGCTGGACGAAGTGTAGCAAAAAGCGTTTTGCGGGGAGCCACTGCCATAGCAATGCCTGTTATGCTTGCCTTTGACATTTACGAGCTGGTAAATGCATCAATGAGTATCAACAATGGGTCCAAATCAGATGCAGCTCAAACGATTCGGGATATAGCAGGAGAACTTGAAAGACAACTTGAAGATACGAAGAACCTTTTCGCTGAGGGATCGTAAGTATAGTTGAAAATCCGCGAATTCTTTTAAGTCTTGTATGCTTAAATAAAAAAGATGACGGTGCATCAGCTGGTAAAAATTACAAATACCAAACCTAATGAGTGAAAATCCTTTGCCAATGAATATGACATGGAATGTGTAAGACTTATTTTAAGAATTAAAATTCTCGAGTTTGCAGACTGTAGTTTGCATCAATAGGCCCTTTGCAGCTGGAGTTACGTGACCACACCTACCTTAAATCAATCAGCTATCAAAAAACGATGTTCAGAAATGGAAAGAGGGGTTTAAATTAAGTAAGAAGACATAGTTTCAAGTCTCAACACTAAATATTTCAAAATTGATAGCAAATATAAAAGACTTGTTTTCAATTCCATCTTCCCATAAGTTTCTTTAGAAAAATCAAATTTTACATTTGCTGTCATTTTTGAAGTATTTAGAGTTGGACTTGAGATTCTGCCATTTCACCAACATAAACCTGCTCTTTCCATTTCTGAACATCATTTTTTGATAGATGATTGATTTAAGGTAGGTGTGGTCACGTGATCCCCAGCTGCAAAGGATCTATTAAATCAATTTAATACTCATTTAGGTCGATTGCGGCAGGCCTTGAGAAAATTCCTAAAGAGGAGTTTACAAAGCTCATGGAGAAGATTACCAGTGAAGATGGAGTCAGTGATGAAGACATTGACATGGTGTTTCACTACTTGTAGATCAATGACCAAGTAAAATTAAGCAGTTGTGAGTCTGCGTTAGATCTCATGGGAGAGCGTTTGCCTTTGTATTCAAATAATTGTGGTCTAATATACGGAAATACCTCTATTTACCATTATGCACTATACTAGCTAGCCCGACTTCACGCTGTTCGTTACAGCGTCTAGTTTTTTCTTAAAATCGGCAGAGGAGCCGACGGGGTCTGTTCTTCTAAATTCTAAACAACTGTTCTTGTACACATTTTTTCCTGGGAAAGGGATTTTGAGCTACATTGTTGACAATCTCACAAGGAAATGTGCCGTCCTTCCTTTAAAATAATTTTGTTCCTGGCAAACTCGAGGTGAAAAAGACTTATATTTTTTTAGTAAGGATTTTTTATTGTCCTGGCAAAACGTTTTAGAAAGAATTCCCTGCCTGGAGAGGTTTTTTTTACCTGACTTTCTCGCTGGCAACCAGTTGCGACTTACAGCTGGCTGGGACATAAGAGCAGATATAGCTATTTCAAAAAAGGTTGTCGGATGAAATGGCGAATGTCAATGGTCGAACGGCGATTACACGACCGAAAGTAGCCATGGGTTTTGCTTGGTGAAATGAAATAGCTGTATATTTSTCCCAGGAACCGGTCGGCTCCTCCTYAATCGGTTAAACCTAGTTAAATTTAAATAACTGGGGAATTAAATTTCAATCCTTTGTATCTTATGGATGGTTCTAAATATAACAAAAATGATTCATACTTTCTTTCTTTTATAATCAGTTTTTAATGGTAAYCATATTTTGGTCTGCGTCAAATGCACTTGTTGACTTTTTCTTACCTATCACATGTATCAATAATACCGAAACAGGAAAATAMCTGAAAATAAACACATTAACAAAAAATGCAGTTGTTCTTGTTTCTAAAGCGATGTTACCTGAATAGGTTTACTAAATCAATTTGTTGAAATTAGGGAGACATGACAACTCCCTGAAGTGGAATCAAATTGGAGAACATAAAACAATCAACAAGAACTTTTATTATTGCATCCAAATGGGGAATTTTATCCTTTAGTCTCTAATAAAAAGGAAGAGAAGAAATTTTTAGATAAAACTATGTATATAGCTATATCAAAAAAGGTTGTKGGATAAAATGGCGAATGTCAAWGYTCGAARGGCGATTGCARGACCGAAAGTAGRCATGGGTTTTGCTAGTTMAAAGGCAATAACAYCTGATTTGRARTGTAAGATWGTCTGTGGTAAACATTGGCTCCATTTAGTCTCCATTTCTATGTAAGGTGAATCCAATAAGTGAAATTATGTTTAGCAAAGCACTCTAACCATAGTCCCCTTCGGTTGT